CCCCAAAACCCCAAAACCCCAAAACCCCAAAACCCCAAGTGGGACGATTTCAAAAATTCTTGAAAGTAATTTAATTTTTGCGCATTATCAAGAAATAAAATTGTTAATTATGCTAATCAAATTTCTTTGCTTTGCTTTTTGCTAATACCACCATACAAGCTATTCATAAATAAGAATATCAAGTTCCTGAAATTGCATAATACTACTCCATTATACAATCCTTTATATCCATTCTTCTTTATAATGTCTTAAAATGTCTCAATAATATTAAGTTGCTTTTATTTTTGGTTCATAATGGCTATTTATATTCTGTATACAAGTTCAAAAGGATAAGATAGAAATGTTACTATAGGTGCTCCCATTAGCAACGCTATATTCAGCATAACATTTCTCTTACGCTTCAAAAATTCATTTGGTTGCTCATTTTACTCTAATTTATTAAGCTTTGAGAAAAAAGAGTGGACAAGTCTGTTATAGAGTGAAAAGGACTAGTTATAAATCATGCATGTTAACAAAAATGATCCAACTCCACGATAATATGTCTATTAAACTCCTAATGAATCATAAGTTTAATAATGAAGCCTCCTAAAGGCATCTTTGAATGACACAAACTGTCGCGACTATTAAGTTGTGCCAATTTCCTAATTTAGCTTTACATTAATGAGATGAAAAGGATAAGCGAGAACAGTAAGAGCTGTCTGGTTAAATAATTAGAAAAGTAAATATGAGGTGAATTAGAAGTTATCCTCGAATCCAATAAACCTCAAATATTTGTACAATAGCTCTCCATTAGTGACTTAGTTTGAATGTGCAATATATAAAGCTAAAGCCTAAGGCCCAATTGCTGGATAACCCCTCCAAAATTATCTAAACCCACCCTGTTTTGTGTAAATATCCTTAGTAATTTCAATATATCCCTTGAATTAATCTTTCTTTAATGTTTTGAATTAATTATTGTATGCTTGGGATTACTTTATATTTAATATGCGCTCGATAGGGGCATCTAGGAATTTCCCAATAATAAAAAGTAATGTCTTGCCCCAGTTTTCTATCTCAGCTTTTCTGTGATCTTCCATTAAATTTACTTAAATGAAATCAATTAATTTAAATTTGAGCCACATATCTAATTTTTATTCCATGCTTATAATAGTTCGTGGGGTTTTGGGGTTTTGGGG